TCAATCGATACCGCTCACCTTATATTATTTCCCCTTCTATTGTATTTCATTTGGATTTCACCATTCTTAACCCTCTTTTGCTCATAACTATTATTTTTGAGTTTTGTTATATTCTTTCATTGATCTTTGTTTCTTTCCTCCATCCACCTATACCATTTATCCCATATCTGGTAGAATTCTGATTCTTCCTTTCCCTATATTTCTTTAGTTCGTTTATCCATTTCGGCACAAATCCTAGTTTAATTACTGAAGCAACACATTTTTGTTAAAAAGAAGCCCCTGGGCCAGAAACTCACTGTACAGAAATTGTGTTCTTCTGTTATAACACTGCTGTTTTGTTTGGCTCCAGGAAATCTCACCAGCTTTGGACAATTAAGCTACAGATATAGTGTAATAGATTTTAATAAACATTCATAAGAATGACATACAGTTTAGCCTTATTTCTTGTTCATCATAATATGGTTGAGCCTGGGGACTGAAGCAATCTAGATTCCGGAGTCCTGGGAAACTGACCAATCCCCCCAAAACATTCTTGGACCTAGATATAGAATCAGATAATTCAACCACTAAATTCCTACAAAGGATGGCGGGGGAGGGGAGACAAGGAGAGAGGGAGAATGAGAGAGATGGAAATGCTGCTTTTGCAATAGAAGCTTTGCTTTGATCTGCTCTGTTTAATCTCCTTATGTTTACTGTCATATACATTTTTTTTTAAACGCCAGTGAAAAACCAAAGAGTAGCTTATGTTAAAACATAGAACGTAGCCCCTTTCATGTGTGCAATGATATTGTCCCTTGGGACAATACCATAACAGCGCTATTGAGCTAAGCAAGAAGCTAGAACTAGAATGGGCTTGCTTTTTATTGTGAAACACTTTTAAAAACTGACAGTGCAGGCTGATTGATTGATTGAATGTATGGAATGAGTATGTCAGCGTTCCAAGTATCAGGTAGAATTAAATCAGAGTCCAAGGCAAAACGATCCTTAAAGTTCCAATTTAATAAATTAGACATCTTAGCACATCTGTGAAATCCCAATTCCTGAATCCACTTAACTGGGATTCCAGTTAAAAGTTCATGATCTCGTCCCCACACCCACAAATCCATCACATGGTCCAATCTTCTTCTTCCACGCTGTCATCTCCACCCAGCTGCTTCCGGTCAGGTGTAAAAGTGCAGAGACAAAAGATGACCTTGGTCTTCTAGAAAAGAATGACAACAACACATTCCACAATCCTATTCCTGTCTATTCCCCCCTCCCATCACCTGTACTAAAGAAACAGCATAATGAAATAAGAG